GGTTGCAGCTCTATTACAGACATTTCTAAAATTCTGTTTTCACTTTGTCATTATGGGGTTCTGAGTGTAGATGAGAAAAAAATAAAAGAATTTAAACTAGTATCAGGCTGCAACATAACAGGATTGAAAAAAGCAAACTGGGTATGAATACTTTCTGAATGCACTGTAAAATGTAAAAAAAATTAAGTCTCCTGCCCCTGACACATATTAACGTAAACATGCGTTGGATGCGCCTATGTACGAAAGCGGTGCTTTTGCTACACTTGTTGGATATTGACGTGTGATCAATAATTCTAGGGCCAATATTCCCAGATCTCTAAACTGACGACGTGTACGGGCTTTCAAAGCATTGCCTATAGACCGTTCGGGGTACTGTGTTTTTTTCACCATTTCACGTACACACACAATTTTTACCTTGGCATGTTGGGTATCTGTTGTAAACATGTTTTTTATATTTTTTTTTCACAAATGGGTATTGTGTTTTTGGTCGCAAATTTACTAATGGTAGACAAAAGCCTTGGCAGTGAGAGTTTAATGGAAAATGCAGGCAAGATATAAATCAAAGCATTAAAAAAACCGAGACCCTGCACATCTAAGCGTAATACCATTTATTCAGTAAGAGTCGATATTAAAAACATCAATCTACTCACAAGTGTAGGCTGAATGACATCTTTTGACCTTCCCTTACATACTACAATTCCACAGAATAAATTTGCTTCCTGGTTTAAGTATAACAGCACCCGACTTGCACTCCTGTCACAAAGCCGGCCGCTGAAGGCCCCAACTGTTGGAGGAGCAGCCCCATAGGTGTTACCAGTGTGAGAAGGCTAAAGGACCATATTGGCTTTACTAAGTGCTGGGATCAAGAGCTTAGAAAGATCTAAATCCAGCCTGAATGTTTGCATGGGTTTTCTGCCCATTCTAAACTTTCTTTCTAATTTCCAAAATCCATGGAATCCAATTAGTTTGTCTTCCTCACCAACATGGTGTGAACAAGCCCTTAGGCCTCGTTCACACCAGATACAGTGCGTTCCCGCCCCATTTTGCCTAGAACACACTGCATCGCATTGCGGCCGGCTCACGATGTTGTGGCAGGAGGTGGCAGTACATTGAAGTGACTGGCACTGTAGCCATGCCCTTCGGCTGCACGGGATCGCAAGGCACATTATGCCTACATTCTGGTCCGAACAAAATAGTGCTTGCAGCCCCTCCTGCCCCACAACATAGTGATCCGCCCACAGTGTGATGCAGTGCGTTCTGCCCAGTATCTGGTATGAACTAGGCCTTAGGGAAACTGCAAGTGTGTGCCCACTGAAAATACAGTACTGTATATAGATAAGGACAACTTGCTTGACTCCAGATCCCAAACTAATGTTTCCTGTATTTAGAAATTGCAGTAGCCAACATCAACATAGTTTTCAGGCTAACTGAATGAGGACTTTGCTGGTTTTGATGTCCAAAATGCAGAATTGCGACAGGCCACCTGATCTAATATTCAGATGAAATCAAATAATGTAGACCTAAAGCACTGTGTGATCCCATGGGTTAGCTTTTTCTGACTGATAGTCCTACTCGCCCAATCTCATTCTTTATAATGCCTTTCTAATTGTTTAAAGCAGATCTAAACTTTGGCTTTGGTTCCTCTTTAAGTTTAAATGGTTTAATCCAGGGGTGCCCATTAGGTAGATCGTGATCTACCAGTGGCTCTCAAAGCTGATGCTGGTAGATCACGAAGGGTGTGAGTGGTGGCCCCTTTATTCCATTTTGGTATATTTATTTAGCTGTGCACACATAATTACTTATTAGCCTGAGTCTGCTGAGCCAAGCTCCCTGGATACTGGTGGTTAAAGTGCTACGCATTACATCAAAGAATATTAGTTTACACAGCCTGTTGCACTACACTGTTTGCAAAATACAGCAAGGTGAGTGGGGAGAGAGGAGAGGCAGCCAGGAGAGAGAGAGGAGAGGCAGCCAGGAGAGAGAGAGGAGAGGCAGCCAGGAGAGAGAGGAGAGGCAGCCAGGAGAGAGAGGAGAGGCAGCCAGAGGAGAGAGAGAGAGGAGAGGCAGCCAGGAGAGAGAGGAGAGGCAGCCAGGAGAGAGAGAGAGGAGAGGCAGCCAGGAGAGAGAGAGAGAGGAGAGGCAGCCAGGAGAGAGAGAGAGGAGAGGCAGCCAGGAGAGAGAGAGAGAGAGGAGAGGCAGCCAGGAGAGAGCGAGGGAGGGTTTTTTTTCCGTTGGTAGATCTCATGTAGCTCCTCATTTGAAAAGTAGATCTTAACACAAAAATTGTGGGCACCCCTGGTTTAATCAATATTAAACACCCTTGAAAGTTATTAAAGATTCTGTTCTTCGTAAGTAATATATACGTCATTCTAGGATTTCTTGACCTATTTCAGACTTTTACCTCACCTCACTTTGCCTTATATTAAAATGAGCTGCTAATGTTTTGTTTCCTGTATTTAGAAATTGGCCAGCAAATAAACTTGCAGTATTGAAATATGTCAGTGTTGAATTTGTTCTTTGTCATCCATTAGGTTCCATTTTGGCTCGTCTGTCCTTTCTTTGCACATTTTCTGCCAGTCTTTATGCAATTGTAAAGCATTTAAGTGGGTTTTTATTGTGACATAGTTTGTAACATGAACATTAAGCCATGATCACAATGCTTGCAGGAACATTCTTCAGTTAGGCCCGGTTCACACCTAGGTGTTTTGTTGCACGTATTTGTCCACATTGAAACGCTCAAGAAATTAAATTTATTACTATAGCCCCCGTTCACACCTGAGCGTAGCGTCGCACGTGGTAAAACGCCTATTGCCAGAAAATGAACTTGAACTTTTTTTTTTTGGCAGATTTGTCCCATTGGCTTAATAGGAAATGTTTGGAAACGTGCAACACAATAATGTTGTGCGTTTGTTGTGCGAGTTTTACTCGCGTTACACTTTTACATCAATATGCTCACAAAAACGTGCGTCTTAATTTACACGAAAAATAACCGCTGGTAATCTGCACTTAAATGCTGTCGCCTAGGTGTGAATGAAGCTTTAAGTGATGCCCGAGCAGCAGTGAGAGGATTTTTTTAATGGGGTTGTCCAGTGAGCTATTTCAGTTGTTGGTAGATGATAGAATGGTTTCTTGCATCTCTTGGGGATTTAGATTTGAGATCCTTATGCTAGACTGGCTGTTCAGTGTTATATTATGTAGAATTCATCTGCAAGAATGGGAGCACACAACATTTCAAGGGGTGGGGGACAGAGCCAATATCATGGAAATGTTCTCTTGGAATACCAATGAGATACAAGAAACCCTTGGGTGACTGTTAGTAGTATTTACATTTAACTGGATATTTTATGTAAAACTGAAGACTTTTGCCACTCCATTCTGTTGAGCGCAAGAACACACTCTTAACATCTATACCAACAAGGGTAACCCAGTCCCATGACCTACTTGAGGACCTTTACCAACACATGGGGCAATTTAGACCACCAAAATCTACCTGTAACTTTATATGTTTTGGGTGACTTGGATCTCTAGCTAGACAACTACATTCATTGTTAGATTACATATATGTGAACTGGGGATTATGGGATGTTCACCCTCACTTCCTGTTCTGGTCACTGTTGTCTATCTTGGAGAGAAAAATGAAATTCAGAATTTGGCAGTTGTCATCGGATGAAAAGATGAGGGGACATTTCCTAACAGTTGAGGGAGATTCCCTCTCACTTCCTGTTATCTATGGTAACTATATTTTTGGTATATTAAAATATTCATATTTTTGGATTGATTACATTCCTGGACTAAAGGGTGTTGTTTTTACCTTTTTTGTCTGAAGTTCGACTTTAAGCAAAGTGTCTGACTATACGATGTTAATTGTCTTCACCCTGCCGTACTATTGTTGCAGACAGCTACCAAAAATTGCTGTGGAGTATAAACATGTAGGTGCAATCTCACTTTGCCTTATTGGTGTTTACATTTTAGTTAAAAATAACCTTTTATTCCCTTATGGATTTTAACCCACCAGTCCCAGTTTCCTGACATAAAAGTGCTTCACAAAGGAGGTAAAAGTTGTAAGGACAGAGTGTCTTGGCAAAGAAACCACTCGGCCAACAATTCAGACATAAGTAGTTTTAATGGAATTGTGAAAAGCTGCATATTATTCTTATACAGGATTTATATAGCGCCAACAGTTTGCACAGCACTTTACAATATAAGGAAGACATTACAATCACAATACAATTCAAGACAAGATGGTAAGGAGGGCCTTGCCCGTGACGGCTTACAGTCTAAAAGGGAGGTAGAAGTGATACATGAGGAGGCATTTAGAGGAACGCTTGAAGTTTAGTAAATCAATATTATTCTGTGAAAGTGAATTACCATTTATCTCTTCTTTTATTCTTTTGTGTTGATTCCATGCACCTAACCTTGATGTGCATCAAACATTTAAGTGTTTGATAGACATTCGTTTATACTAACAACCAATCAAGTTATACCGAAATGAAATGTTTAGACTGAAACCGAAAATATAAAATGTCAAGCCGAAACCGAAAATTACTTTTTTTTTTTTATTACTTTACTGCTATGGACTTTGGGGAAATATCAGAGGTCTATACAGACCCCTGATATTTCCCTTTTAAAGCCCATTTCCACCTTTTGCGGGGCATGTACTCCGTGTCTAGATGATGTCGGCATATGTAGACCCTGGATATAAACCATAGAGAATAAGATTGAGGACAAAGACTGAATTGTCAGCACTATATAAATACCAATAATGTAGCAGTGTGAAGGCACCACAGGACTACCAGATGCAAAATTATTTTTTCCCTATATCTATTAATGATTTTTATTACATATGTTGACTAAGGGCTTTTGTCGTATTTGCTGAGAGATCTGTTTTAATACCCATCAGGCATTATGTACTGTATATTGGTGAAATATTTAGGTAAATTAACTTTTGTACAGTTCAATGGTTTTGTTTGTTCCTATAAATGTCTGCTTTTCTTTTCAAGCCCCTTGTTTGTAACATGGAAGATAGGACGGGACAAGAGATTGCGTGGATGCATAGGAACCTTTTCTGCCATGAACCTGCATTCTGGTCTCAGGGAGTACACACTTACCAGGTAAAGGCAACTCATCTATCACTACCATCTTATACCACTTTTTTTTTATATAGATTGTTTTTTTGCAAAATAGTTTTGAGATGCTGAGGTGATATATTTTCCCAAATGTTTGTATTGTTTCAGCAGTAATCAGCAGTGGAGGGAACTGAAGGAGAAAGTTCTCCTTCAGGTCCTCATCTGCTGATGGACAGCAGGCAGTGAGTGGGTGCAATAGCCATCCTGGTATTGGCTATTTTAAATTGCAATAGCCAATAACAGGCTGGGTTTTGCGTCTGCCCACTGGCTGCTGTCAATCAGCAGAGTAGGGACCTGAAGGAGAAAGTTCACAGTGAAATATCAAGACTCAAGGAATTTTCTTTAGCAAAACGTACTGTCTAGTGTCTGAAAGCTTTGTCTCATTGAGGTAATGGGTCCTCCAACAGGATATTGGCCCAAAACACACAGCTAATAGCACCCAAGAATGGCTAAGGGCAAAGCATTACACTTTTCAGAAGTTGTCTTCTATGAGCCCAGATCTGAATCCTATTGAACATCTTTGGAAACATGCAGTATGGCTGCTACAGGTGATTTGGGTGACTGGCCCCCCAGATCACATTATTGGACAAGCATCGCCTGCTGAAAACAGTACCAAGATCTTGGCTGAAACAGCAGCCATGCTCTTGGTCTAACCACTTGTCATGGTCCTGAAGTTCTTTAAACATGAGATTTATAGTGAGGTAAAGTGGTCATGGGCCCACTAGGCCAGGAGCATATACATGACTGCTGTTTCCATTTATTTACAAGTTATGTACCCCTATTACATTCTAAACATAAAAATACAGAATGTATTTCTTTGTATATTTACTACTCTGCTACCTGCATTTGGAGTTTTTAGGCTTAAAGTGACATTAAACCCTCAGATTTTTTTTTACATAAAACAATACTGTAATGTGTGCCTTACTGTAATCCATGGTAGTTTCCCTTCTCTTTGCTGCTCTTTTTAAATCTATCTGTTCTCATGCTCTGCAGAAATTCTGTTTTGCAGAAGACTGCCTTGTCTGAGGAATAGATACATGGTGTCTGTGTATAGGCATGTAACCTGAGCCAGCACTACAGGAAGGGGCCCTGAGCTGAAAAGGGAAGTTCTCACCAAGCATGAGAAGACATGAGGATTTAAAAGGAAGAGCAGCAAAGAGAAGGGAAACAACCATGGATTACAGTAAGGCACACATTACAGTATTGGTTTATGATTTTTCCAAATGAATCTTGAGCTTACACTAGGAAGCATTTTGCCTTTAGCTTCAACTTCACTAGACCTAAGCAAAATCTGCATTTTACATATTGCATGCAGCTGTTCATACGTAGGTAGCCAGTTGGGCACTGTACAAGTTGAAAGCAGTTCAAGGGGTAGGACATGTCTACCCTGAACTTTCAGAAGCTCTTCTGTCAAATACTGTGTATTGATCAAAGACACGGGAGAAATTTATATGGACTGTAGCAAAAGACGGCATGCGTTGCAGCAGCCATACAAGTTCATTTCTCATAAAGGAATTGGCCTGCACTACAGTAGCTAATTTTTGATACAGTTTTAATATATTAGCTTAATAGTATGTTGTTGTGGCTGATGAATGATTTGCCTATCAGCAAGCCTCCCATTGCAAGGGTAGTAGGTAAGTTCTATTAAATTATAAACTGTTACTTTCCATAACTTATTTTATTGTATTCTCTTTTGAATTTGGCTGTAGTCATTTAAATAATAATTTTTCTTTATCATTTCAGTGCCCTTAAAGATAGCCGTTTTCCCCCAATGACGAGGGATGAGCTGCCACGGCTATTCTGCTCAGTGTCTCTGCTTACAAACTTTGAAGATGTATGTGATTACTTGGACTGGGAGGTAAGAAAAGCTGAGCAAGCTGCTTGCAGTGTGACTGTCACCAGTTTTGTCAATTGCTTTACAGTAGAGATGAGCGAATCAGTTCTGGAATTGCCTGACTAACTCAGTGAATCTGCATCAGTTCCGGTGTCCCTAAGCCCTGTACAATTCAATGTCCCTAACACAATCGCTTAAGCCTAGCAGTACATTTTTTTTTTTTTTTTTTCCTCTCGAGGTGTGGAGGTGAAGACCTGTTCAAATATAGACAGCATGTCACCTCCATATAGATGCTGTTGCAGATTTTCAGATATCCTGAAAGTCGGTCAGGTTTCCAAAGATTTAAATGAATACATCTTCTGCAATAGAAGACAGCATATACTTACACCCCATTCACACTGAGAGACGCTCAGGCCTGGTTCACACCTGGGCGTTTTACAGCGCGTTCCTACGCTCTGTAAAACGCTCAACATGTGAAAACCAATGATTGCCTATGGGCATGGTTCCCACCTGGGTGTTACAGCGCGTAGGAACGCGCTGCAAAACTCCCTACGCCCAAAGAAGTACAGGAGCTTCTTTGGGGCGTATTTGCCAAGCGTATGCGTATCCATTGGAATACAGCCAGGAAGCCCTCGGAAACACGTGTTTGTCGCACGGTTTTTTACCGGGAATCGTGGTAAAAACGTGCGGTACGAAACGCGCATATTCGATACGCCTAGGTGTGAACCCAGCCTTACGGTGAGTGGATTTCCGCGTGATCAATATAGCATGGCTTTCCCGGCGACAATAATGCGGCCTTCACTATTGGGCTGCATGCAAAAAGAGAGCAAAATCGCGCAACATCCGCGCAAAAAGGGTCCTGCACAGCGACGGGCTACAGGCGATATTGTGCGGTAGATTAAAAAAGCACCATTGAAAAGCATAGGACGTGCGAGATCTCGCGGCAAGACGTGCGATTTTCAAGCGGAAATCCGCTCAGTGTGAATGAGGCCTTAATACTCTGGCAGTCCATTTCTACTGCCTCTTAGTTCCTTTGCTGCAGCCTTGAAAAGTCTCTTCAGCACTTGACAATTTCAGGAATGTTGGATGCCTCTGTCCCCAGCTGCCAGCTAGATCCTTCCTCTGACTCCTAGGTCAGTGCGGAGTCCTGCAGTGACTAAGGGAGCCAGAGGAAACAACCAGCATGCGGCAGGGGACATTTGCATTTGAAATTCCTGGATTGACAAAGCTGGTTGGACGACTAGTGAAATGTCTTCAAGAAAAATGCAACAAGTCCAGTTGCCTTGACTTATTTTTTACAGATATACCATGACCTGGATGAAGGAGAACCTTCACAGACGCTCCCAGAAGTGTCAAGTGCTGAAGCGGCCTTCCAAGGTTGCAGCAATAGAATGGTGGAGAGACTGGAGGAACAGGTCACTGGAGATGTGAATATATGCTGTCTTTTAGTGCAGGGGATTGCAGTATTTAAACCTTTAGAGACCCGATTGAGTCTCAAACATTTACATGCAGGTTCACTCCCTCTGCCAAGATCCAGAGTGATTACTTTATCCTGCTTGGCCGGATTTCTGAAATTTAGTATTTCCTGCCGATCGAAAATGCATATTTAGAAGGGAAAAAAATAGACTGAAAAGGATCAGATTCACCCAGTTTGCAAATATGTGAATAGATGCGCTCACATCTATTCCAGATGTATGAATATGCAACCTGCTTAATATGGTTCAAACTGCTTAGCACCTCTTTGAGCTACTTGTCTGCTAAACTGGCTATACAAGACTTCAGTCAGACTGACGGAAAAATACATAGTTCCACAGTCTCCTCCTTTTTTTTAATTTGGTCAATCATGAAATTGTATGCTCACATGACTTGACAGCTGACTTCCCTCCTTAGGGTCTAGAGAGGAATAACCTAAAACAACGATGCATGTGTGTATATATAACATCTGTTCATTTCCTTTTCAGGGTGAGTAATGACATTCATTGTGTCTTTATGAAATGGTGGTGGTCATATGATTTGTAAAACTGAAATATGTTCTTATGACTGTTTGAGATGGGGATGAAACACATTTAAGTTTTAATTGGATGTGGCTGGTGATTGATTGTTTGTAGCTTTGTGTATATATGGCTTGAAAAATTACTTGGGGGAAGGCACTTCTGCCATTTCCACCAAAGTGTAACTTCCTCATACATGTACTAGTGGTTTACCATGGCAGTTCAACTAAGACAGAAAAAAAAAAGAATGTAAGAACAACTTTGCTCAACTCCAGACCTACTTGGAGTGAATGTATTTCCCCATCCAGCTCTTTCTTTGAGTCTGATTCCTTTTTCTCCACCCTGTAATATGCCCTTTCTTTCTACCTTTCCATTTCACAAGCGTCCTTTCCGTAACTTCTCACTCCTATACCTCTAGTCAGGAATCTGACTCTGCCTCTCTAGTTCCCCTCTCCCATGGTTGTCTTCACTGTACTCTCTCACCCAGATCCAGTGAACAAAAGGGAGGTGGAGTTGGAATCCTGCTATGCCCAAAAGCACTTTTCAAGTTCTTCACCTCAGTCTCTATCCCATCTCCTCTCAAGCTTACTGTATTTGTCCTTTTTCTTCAGTTTCTCCGAGGATTACTGTGATTGACATCCCATTTAGACACCAACTCCCAGCAAGTCTTAGTTTACTAGTGTTTTCAGGAAGGGTGACCTCTCTCTCCTGAGAGTTGGTTTCTGGTTTAATCTATTTCCACAACCTATCTAAAGAGAGATTTCCCTTCACTGTTTGCTTGTGGTGTTTTTGGCGACTGCTTCTGTAAAGTGGATACACTTTTCATCCTGTCTGAGGGCTCCCTGCATCTCAATCCACCATTGCAAGGTGAATTAGGCAGATCATCACGAAAGTTTATGCCTTAGAGGGCAGTGTCCCTCCCTTTCTGGTTAAGGCTCACTCAACTAGGTCTGTCTGTGCCTCTTGCTTCTTTCAGCAACAGGCGTTCATTTCTCAGATTTACAAGGCTGCCTAAATAAAAATGTAAATCAAGCACAATTTTGAACAGTCAAGGTAGTCTCTAATTGTGTTCTCGATTGTTCCGATGGCATTTTTCATACAAATCCTCATGAAAATCTACCCATATATATTACCTTACTGATGACAACCTTCTTGACCCCTTACTGTCTGACTTTTGCCCACAGTAGTCACCACCTTCTAAAAGTCTTGAACAACTTACTTACTGCTAAAACCAGTGGCCACTAATCTGTACTCAAAACCTTTCTGCTGCTTTTGATAAGCACCACCCATTCTTCCAAAAAAAATGTCACTCCCTTGGACTCCTACACTTTCCTGGGTATTCTATCTAAGCACACCTTTGCTGTTACCTACAACTTGATCTCTCCTTTTTGTGTAGGGGTCCCCCAAGGGTTTGTCCTCTGACCCCTTCTATTTTCCATCTGCACCTCCTATCTTCTTTGCCTTCCATAGCTTCCAATACCATCTAATGGCACCTGAATATCTCTCTACACCTCAGCTCACCACTTCAGTCTCCTTGCGCATTTCTAATTTACTAACAGACTTTATTCGTATGGATGTCACAACAACTTATCTAAAACCAACACCTTTCCTATTGAGATCATTAGCACAAAAATTAGTACCTCCCGTTATATCTGGGTTCTTGGTGAAATCCTGAACTTTGGCCTCTCCTTCAGGCCCCATATCCAATCACTGTCCAGATCTTCCTGCCTTGACAATTGACACCACCAAAGCTACTTACTCACTCCCTTTTCTCGCCTTGACTATTAAAACTCTTTCCTCATTGGCCTGCCTTTACATAGCTTCCCCCTGTCCCTTCAGCCTATCATGGATGCTGCTGCCAGACTTCTCCATCTTACCAGACACTCAGTGTTCATTGCCCCTCACTACCAATCCCCCCACTGGCTTCTGCTCGCCCAACTAATAGAAATTCAAATTACTAACATCATACAAAGCCTTCTACAGCTCTATCCTGAGCTACAAATACCTTCTCAACCTTTCAAAATGTTACCCAAACCATCCTCTTTACTCCTGCCAAGACCTCCTCTCTCACCTTCACCAACTTCTTTTATAATCACCTCCAGGACTTCACTAGAGCCTCTTCAACCTCTGGAAATTTCTGCCCCAATCTCTCCAGCTATCTCCAACCCTGTCCACCTATAGGCGATTCAGGGAAGCCTACCCTGCTTCTACTTAAACTGAATTTTTGTCTTCCATCAACTCACCTCCCCTACAGTTATTACATTTTGTATCACTTGCTCCTCCATTTTAGATTGTACTTTCTCACAAGCAGGGCCCTCCTTACCCTCTTGCCTTTTATTGAATTGTGACTGTACTGTCTACATTTATTTTGTTAAGCGCTGCACAAACTGTTGGTACTATGTAAATCCTGTATAGTAAAGATTTGTCTCTGCTTACGAGACATTACTCAGTCCTACAGTATTTGTGCAAGAGAAACTTTTAGTGATTCCTTGCATATGCTAGAATGTATTAAATCACAAATTTGCCAGCGTTCACTGTTCCTCTGCCAGGGGTTATTTGTACTAGCTGTGATCTACAATTGCACATGCAGCATATACAGTAGTACAGGAGAGTTTTTAAACTGTAGCTGCACAATTAGAAAATCCTTTGTCTCAAAAATGAAAACAAATCATAAGGCCAAAGGAATATTTTAATTGAAGTGACTGATATTCCTCTTTGGCTAATAACTATGGATGCACCGATACCAATATTTATATTTCTGTACTCAACGATACCGATACTTCCGGTAGCATAGAGCCGGCTTCCCAGACAATCAGGAAGCCAAGCGCCGTGTCATTACCCACCACCCGGCTTCTTGATTGCCCGGGAAGTAGACTCCATTCTGTTTGGCCGGCTTGCTGCTGATTGGCCGGGAAGCCGGCTTCCCAGCCAATCGGCATCGAGGTTGGCCTAACAGATCTGACAATATGGTGACGCAACCCCCACCCTGCAGGCACCTCATTCCCCTCACATAGATTCTTAGCAGTAGTCATT